ATTTTAGTTTTCAGTTTCCCAGAGCTGTCAGGTTCCTATCTCTCCAGGGCCAGGTTTCTGTTTCCCAGAACTGTTAGGTTTCCATTTCTTATCACCATGCCCATATGGTCTCTACTTCTCCTGACTGTTGAGTTGTTTTCTATCACCAAGTCCCCACATCTCCCCCTTTTTTATTTTATTTAGAATCGGGGCCTGTGGAAGAGCCCCGGTAACTGTCCAGGCCTTGATTTAGGTAAACCGGTGTTCTGCCTTTGGCTAGGCTCGTGTTTTTAGGGGAGAAGTGGGCAGGCGATCATATTGAATTCGCAATGTCATTAATTGTATTTGTTCTATTTTCCCTTTTATGCAGAGGAGTATAAGGATTATGAGAGGCTCTGCCAGCATAGAAATAAGGATAGTGAGCCATGGTGAGGCAGTGAACCACTGCTGGTACCAGGACTCCTGTTCTCACTGACGCCTGTTTAAGTCCTCTCTTAATTTGTCAAGATTATCCATAACCACTCCTGAATTATCAGCATAGAAACAGCATTCTTCTCTGAGGGCTTTGCATACACCACCTTGCTGAAGAAACAGGTGATCGAGCCCTCTCCTATTTTGTAAAGCAACTTGAGCTAGAGAGGAAAGCGACTCCTGGAGAAACTTGATGGCGGTCTCAACTTTATCTAGGCTAGCATCCATATCTGCCCTGATCTGTTGGATGCCTTTTTGCGCCATAACTAAGGATGTAGCTCTAAGGGCCGTTCCCTCAGCTCCAAGGCCCACAAGTGTGGAGACCACAACCATGAAAAGCAACTCTCTTTTTTTGTATGTGCATCTCCTGGCCCTGCATTTCCTCAGTGGAGTGATAAATGACACAAGGGAAGAGTAAGACCAGGGTGCATATGTTCCCCCCCCCCACCGCTTGCCACAACAAGAGAAAGGCAAGGGGTCAAACCCAATTTTTGGCACAGCCAATAATATGAAGGCTCGATAGGGACTACCCAGTTACCCCCTATTGAAGTGATGTTTTGACAGCGCCCCCAGGAGTGTCCAGCAGGGTGTCCATGGGCAACACAGGTCATATTTTCACCACGTATAAGAGGTAGGGTGAGCCCGCCAGTTTTTGTGTTGAGCCCGCCCATCGGCATTGACCACTGTGAGTAGTGTTTATGAAGTTTCCCATTCTCCCCAGGGCCTCCACCGTTGGAGAGCTGGTGTCTAGGCACAGCCAGCACTGGTCAACAAGTTCAGGTCTAGAGGTATTGAGAAAAGTGTAATCAAGCTGTACTGCCTGATGAATGCCCTCATGCCTGGTCCCACTTAAGCCTGGACCAGGGTCTCCAGGCACAGATGCTTCTGATGCCAGGATGTTAGTGTCGTGCATCGGGCTAGTAGTGACGTGCAGGGCTGGTGGGTCTAGGCGGTGGGAACCAGGCCAGACCCACTGTCTCCTGGTAGGGCAGGGGTTCGACAACCCTCCTGATCATCAGTAGGAGGCCAGGGTCGTATCCTGAGACATAGAGTCTTAACCCAAATATCTTTCCAGTTTCCCATCCTTCCTTTTTTTCCCCTTGTTCTGAAAAGCTGATCTGTATGGGGTTACAACGATAGTTTGCACACTACCCATACAATGAGTTTTTTGACACTTGTTGTTGTTTGAGCCTACTAACGTGGATGGGTCCTTTACCCTTAATCCAATACCCCATCCCTGTGCTCTCGCATCCCCAGCTTGCACAATAAAAGACACCCCCTCACACATGTACATAATTGTGATGCAATTCTATTGGACCCGGGACAGACATAGAATGTTGTCAATAGCAACGCATGTCTTTTAAGGACATCTGAGCAGCCAGGAGAGTTAGGGGAACCCACAAGTGGCAGGGTGCATCCCTTCCCGCTGTCTCCATATTCCAGTCTGTTTTTCCCCGGGGCCATTCATCCGCTCACGTCCCAAGATCCAGCTGTAAGATTGCAGAGGTCAAATTGCAGGTCCGGCCACCATGTAGAAGGGGGGGGTGATCTGAGTAGTTTTATTGATGGCATCTGACATGGCCATGTTGATCACCAACCAGGTGACCTTCTGGGGTTGATGTGGATTATCTAACCCATAGGCTTGACTCCTCACTTGTAGACAGTTTAGGGAGAGGGCCAGCAACAGGAGGATTTTGTGCTCCATTTTCTGCAAGAGAGAGAGAGAGGTAGGCCTTCTCAAGGGTATTTATCCCCTTGCTTTTAACCTTTTGCTTTTGCTGGCATTTGTTAATCATGAAGTTGTGCCACCATAGCTTTTTCTTTTCTTTATTGGTCATCTTTGTCCCATCCATTGTCCTGTGAGGGAAAATGCTTAATGTTTCTAGCAGGTATCCAAATAGGTTTTGTTTCACCCATGGGGAAGACACATCCATATCCCCTCCCTATGGTTAAGAGTGGGTCTGGCCCTTTCCATTGGGATGTCACAGGGTCCTTCCACCTGACTTTAACCTGGGGTTTTAGGTCCAATTGCCCCCAGTGCCTTTGAAATCTTGGGAGGGGGTGGTCCTTGGTCAAATTTAAAATATTAATCATGAAAAGTGCCAGCCCCAACTGGTGATGGGGGCTTACTCCCCCTTTTTGTTTTTGTAATGGAATTTTAAGGTTTTGATGGTTGCGGTCTATAATAGCTTGGCCATGGGGATTGTAAGGAATCCCTGTACTATGTTGGATGTTCCAAAGCAGGAAAAACTCCTGAAAACTCTTACTCACAAAACATGGGCCATTATCAGTTTTGATTCTGGGGGGAAGTCCCAATGTAGCAAAGCAAAGCATTGGAGAAAGTGAGATTGAGCATGTTTAGACTTTTCCCCTGCATGGGCAGTGGCCCAGCAGGCATGTGAAAATGTATCAATAGATACAAAAACATATTTAAGTTTTCCAAAAGGAGCATAATGTGTGACATCTGTTTGCCATAAAGAATTAGGTTTGAGTCTCCTGGGGTTTACACCTGCTTGTTGTAGAGGTGGCACCTGCAGAAAGGGTTGACAAGATTTACAGGTTTGTATGATTTTTTTCAGGTTCTTAATGGAAATCTGAGGGAATCTCTCATGGAGCCCCCACCAATTTACATGTGTGAGGTCATGTAACCCCTGAGCCTGATTCAAGCCCATTGTCATAATTTGGGTGGACGCCATTTTGTCTGCCTCAGTATTGCCCTGGGATAGAAGCCCGGCAATCCTTGGTGTCCCCTAAGGTGTTGTAGGAAGATAGGGGCTTTTCTTTCTTTAAGCAGTGTGTGAGTCTGAATCATCAAGGGGGTGATAGGGTTCCCATCCAGCTGGATGTGAGAAGAAGATTAACTGTGTATAGTAGTCCTGGAAGAAGATTAACTATGTATAGGCTGTCAGAAAACAAATTCATGGGTTTACTTACCTTTGTCAAGGCCAGAGTAACAGCTACAAGCTCCTTGAACTGAGCTGACCCATCACAAGTATGAATATATCTTTTTGATGTTTCGCCTGTTCCTGGGTATACTATTACTGCAGCTCCAAACCTGCCCCTGTCAGTGAAAACATTATGGGCTTCCACTAATGGCTCCTTAAAGAGCTGGGGGGTGTCCCAGGAGAGGGTGTGAAAGGAGGTTACCCATTTATGAGGGCCATAATGACAGTCCAAATTTCCCAGGAACCCTTCCAAGGCTATGGCCACTTGATTGTTATTTCTGCAAAGCCATTCAAAATCTTTAAGCCGATAGGGGATAACAATTTTAAGAGGGTCTATGCTATAATGTCTTAGGGCCATGTCCTGCCACTTTTCAATCAAGTCAGCTAACTGATCCATGGGTGTATAAACCCGTGGCATGCCTCCCAGTGAGGGGCTTTCCATCCTGCATAAGGACTGACGACATAGAAGTCTCGCCAGGGAGTACCCACAACTCAAGATCTTTACTAGGTGTGTACTAGGCGAGTTTGGCTTGGTCCAGGGCATCCTGGACATCATGTAAGACATGCAGGTGTTGAGGAGCCAAGTGAATTAGTTCTGAAGGCTGTTTTCCCACTAGCAATTGAAAGAGTGCTTTTAAGGTCTCAGTGGAAATAGGTATCCAGGCTCTCAGCCAATTAATTTCTCCTAATAGTCTCTGCAGCTCCATGAGGGTAACGGTGGGCTTGACAGCCAATTGTGGTTTTAAAGGACTTACTGCCTCCAAAGAAAGTATGGTTCCCAGGATTTTAAAGGGAGCAACAGTTTGTATTTTATCAGGGGATACGTGGAGCCTGCCTGTCTGTACACACTTTTGGGTAACCCCATATAATTGTATTAATTGTTGGGGGCTCAGGGCTCCCAGGATGATATTATCCATGTAAATATACACAATGGTGTGAGGGAGTAAGAGGGCAGGCTCCAAAAGTGTCTTTACATAGCTTTGGCAGAATGCTGGGCTATTGGCCATACCTTGGGGTAAAACAGTCCATTCATACCTCTCATCAGGTGTTTTAAAGTTGGTGGAAGGTACAGAGACAACAAACTTTTCACAATCCTGGGGTTGTAGAGGGATAGAGAAAAAAAATCTTTAATGTCTATAACTATAAGAAACAAATCTGAGGAAATAACAGGGATCCAAGGCAGCCCCCATAGGGGTGTACCCACTAGGGTCATTCTAGCATTGATTTTATGCAAATCTTGTAGCATTCTCCATTTGCCAGAGGCCTTCTTAATAACAAAAACGGGTATATTCCATGGACTTACAGAAGGCCAGATGTGGCCCAGTTGTAATTGTTCCTGCACAATTTCTTTCAAAGCCTGTAACTTTGTTTCACGTAGTGGCCACTGCTCCACCCATACAGGCACCCCTGGGGACCATTGGATAGCTGGAACCTGAGGGGCAGTGAACTTTAGAATTGGGGGTGAACCCGCAGGATCTTATCGGACTCTTCCTGATAATTATGAAAGTTTGAGAACTCTTGCTCTTAGGTCTCCTCTAATCTTTTTGGGAGTCTGTTGAACTCTTCCTATTCTAAGAGGTCTTCATAAAATGCCTTATTATCTGTGGTCAACATAGCATCCATTTGGCCTAGAAGGTCCTGGACAAGCAAATTGGACTACAACCCGGGTGCTACTACAGGCTGGATCTCGCCTCTAGATCCATCTGCATCCCTCCACTCTAACAGTCCCTGCACCTCCTTGACTCCAGCAAGCCCGCCCATGCCCAAAACTTATAGGCCGGGTTTTAGAGGCCATGTACTAGGTACCTCCTCCTTTCTAAGTATGCTAAGATCTGCCTCAGTATCTATGAGACAGTGAAATCTTTTTCCCCCTATGAAGATGCTCATCTTTGGCCTGAGGCCTTCACAGATGGGAACCATCCAATTGGTCTCAGTTATTCCCATCTCAGGTCCTCCTTTTGATAACAGGGCTAGAGGCTGCCCCGGAACTAGTTTAAAGGCTTTCCAGTTATATCAAACTTAGATCTGCAATCCTTTCTCCAATGATATCCCTTTCTGCAGTGAGGACAGGGGTTTTTTTGGCCTGACACCTATCTGGTCCCCCTGTTTCAGGGTTTGTCCCTTTTCCTCAGGGAAGTCTTGCTTAAAGTGCCCTCACTTCCCACAGTTAAAACATTTTCCTCCTCCCCTTTCTTTCAGCCACGTCATCTGGGTGGTTGAGAGGGCCTGCATCATGGCTTCTGCCAATGAAGCAGTTTGCGCCTTTAGCACATTAGTCAGCATGTGAATCTCATGAGGTCAGGTTCCTACATCCTGGGAGGCCATGATCCACCAACTCATGGAGTTATTTCTAAGCCCAGAGCAAGCCACCCGACGATCCTGATTCATGCTGTCCCACACCATAACTCTTACAAATTTGTCCCGCAAAGGCTCGGGAGGCAATTTCCATATCAACCTGTTCTGCACCCTATCTATGAATTCAGGAAGAGGCTCAGAGGGCTTTTGTCTCAGTCCTATTATAGGGTCCTCTGTCGGGCCCTCATTGAGTTTCCTCCTTGCTGACAAGCCTGTGGCCTTTACTTGCTCTCTGTACAAGGGAGGGAGGGCCGCTTGCTGCTCCCCAGTTGAATAGCCATCAGAGGTGCCAGACAGCTGCCCATATGTAAAAAGGATCAAGTAATTGGCTGTTTGGTTTTGCTCTGCTGTAACCCGGCACTCCTCTTTAAATAGTGCCTGCCATTTAACAAAAAGTAGTCCTGAAAGAACTGCTCTGGTCAGGTCATACCAGTCTCTGGGCATGCAGGGATGGTGAGCCAAGCCCTCCAACACAGTATTGACCCAGGGCAAATTAGGGCCATCCTGTGCTACAGGTGCCCTCAATTCCTTGAGATCCTGGGTCTTCATGGTCCTGGGACCAGGTTAACAGGGAAGGCTTGGCACGGAGATCGGGAGGGCTGCGGGGCCTTGACCGGACATGCTTCCACATACGTCAGCCATTGTGGAGCTATAGGCACGAGGGGGGGCCCGCATGAAAGGCATTTTCCCCTGGCCAGAGGCTGGCTGGACCCCACTGGAGGGTTTGATAATTATCCAGTCAGCAACAGGGGATTGGCTCTGGACCTTTAGCCTCTCCGACCTCCCTTTGAGGGATCTGCTTCCCCTGCCCAGCCTCTTCCACCTCTAGGGACAGGTTGAGCCTTGAGGTCAGCTGCCATAGCCTCAACTTGGTTATTTCGTGTCCCAGCCTTGCTCCTCTCCTTATCAAACTGGGCCCAGTCTTCCTGATTTTTAATCTCCCCTTCTTCCTCATGGAGAGGGAGGGCACCTCCATCCCTAGCCTGCCCCTCCTGAGTGGGAATGGGTCCCCCAAAGCACCCCTTAAGGGCTGATATAGTGGGATAGAATCCCAAAGGGGGTTTGATCCCAAAGTGCAGCTCCCTTTTCCTGGCCAAGCCCTCAACCCTTTCCCAGGTGTCTGCCGAGAACAGGTTGGCTGCAGGAACCCATGGGGCCAAAAGAGTCACAGTCTCCCAGACCTGGTTTCCTACAGAGTCTGAAACTTCTAGCCCTCAGCTCTTGAGCATATAATGCAACCTTCAGGGCCAGTTCATGCTTCTTAGAAGTTGCGTTACCCACACTAAGGATCTCACTCACCCTGAAAGACTGATTGGCCTCAGCCGGTATCTCTTTCGTTGTTCCTTACACGGGGCACCAGTTGCAGGGGTCCTTCCCCACACACAGCACGATGGGGGCTGAGGATGGGGAGTAAGCTGCCATCCCAACCCTCTGTTCCCAAGGAATCACCAAGGAGGCAGGGAGTCTTGTCCAGCAAGAGATCGTTTATTAAGCTTTAGGCAAGTGCTTCTATACATTTGTGAGCATTGAGTGTCCCTCCTTTACTCAACCCCGGGGTTTGATTGGTCATGACCACAGGACTTAATTAGTATTTTAGGTTTCAATTTCCCAGAGCTGTCAGGTTCCTATCTCTCCAGGGCCAGGCTTCTGTTTCCCAGAACTGTTAGGTTTCCATTTCTTATCACCATGCCCATATGGTCTCTACTTCTCCTGACTGTTGAGTTGTTTTCTATCACCAAGTCCCCACATCTCCCCCTTTTTTATTTTATTTAGAATCGGGGCCTGTGGAAGAGCCCCGGTAACTGTCCAGGCCTTGATTTAGGTAAACCGGTGTTCTGCCTTTGGCTAGGCTCGTGTTTTTAGGGGAGAAGTGGGCAGGCGATCATATTGAATTCGCAATGTCATTAATTGTATTTGTTCTATTTTCCCTTTTATGCAGAGGAGTATAAGGATTATGAGAGGCTCTGCCAGCATAGAAATAAGGATAGTGAGCCATGGTGAGGCAGTGAACCACTCTTGGTACCAGGGCTCCTGTTCTGGCTGATGTCTGTTTAAGTCCTCTCTTAATTTGTCAAAATTATCCATAACCACTCCTGAATTATCAGCATAGAAACAGCATTCTTCTCCAAGGGCTTTGCATACACCACCTTGCTCGAGGAACAGGAGATCGAGCCCCCTCCTATTTTGTAAAGTTACTTGGGCTAGAGAGGAAAGCGACTCCTGGAGATACCTAATGGCTGTCTCAACTTTATCTAGGCTAGCATCCATATCTGCCCTGATCTGTTGGAGGCCTTTTTGTGCCATAATTAAGGATGTAGCTCCAAGGGCCATCCCCCCAGCTCCAAGGCCCACAAGTGTGGAAACCACAACCATGGAACTCAGTGGGTATGTATCCAGACATAAGCACAGGAACCAGGGAGGTAAAGGAATAGAACCTGAAAGAGAAGAACAGTAGGAAACAGGCATTAATAACGGAGATATGGATAAAAATTGGGTTAGTTTAAGGGAGCGGGGAGGGAATGGTATACAAAGAACCTAGGGGATAAAGGGAAAGAAGGAGGTCAAGAGGTAGGATTGTAGGAGAAGGGTATTATTAAGGGAGAAAGGGGGGAAATGGGGACACCTTAAGTGGGAAAACCATGAAATGACAATGCAAAAGGCACAGTGTTGACATCGCATGGGCACACCAGTATTATGTCCCAAAGCATCGCTGTGGATGGCCCTGGTCAGCATCCTGAACAGCCATCAAACTGTTCCTCAGTAGATTAATCTGCAGCGGAGTTTGAAGTCTCTGTCTGCTTTCACAAGACACTGCACAATCAATCTAGGTTTAGGTCACCCAGTAAGGGACCCAAGGAGACTGAGCCCTGAGGTGGAAGCCTTTTTAACCAGAGAAATTCCTGCATGCCAAGGCACTAAAACATGCAAGCTGCTCTCAGTTTCTTTCACAAAGTCAGAGGATCAGTCTGAACTTGGAAAATTCTTGAGAACAGAAGTTTGCGAGAACTAGTATGAGTCTGAACAGAAAGAACCAGTTTCTGCCCAGAGTCAGCTTTTCAAATTTTTAGCCTATACTACATTAGTTTGAAACAAAAAGCAAGAGACATCAGGCAGAAAACATCTTTAAAAGGACAGTCCATTGTTAACATCTAGGTCTGATTTTCTGTGCCAGAATTTAAAGTTAGCCGTCTGTGTCTGCTTTTTCCCTGAACTCTGAACGCCAGGAACTGGGTAAGGAGGAGGAAACTCTGAATAAAATACTCTGCAAACTTGCTCTAAAACTTTATGCCTCACTTCCTCATGAATTTCATAAAGATTAATCGTCTTTCTAGATGTATGGAAAAACTGGCTTGGAAACAAGCTCCTTGGACAGTATTCAGCAAACAATCTAACAAATGTCCAGGCATCCCAGAAGTCAAGTGAAACTGCTTCTCCTGTCTGAGACGCCATTTTCACTTTTTTCCTGACTCTGTCCCCTACTCTAAAATCTAAAAATCCCATACCAAGAGCCCATAAACCAAACCCTGAAACTTGCAACCTATAACTATGAAAAATGTACTGAAGGAAAGAAGGGAAAAGGACATGCTTACCTAACAAAAGCATACTTACCCCCAAAACAATTTTTCCTAAAAAAATTTTCTTGGGCAGCCTGGTGCCGGGGGTCTTCATGCCCCACGTTGGGCGCCAATTGTCAAATGCCCCCCAAGCCCACCAGGCTTGGGTCTTCAACAAGAAGGACACTCAGGCAAAAGTCTGAAGTTATGCGAGGAATTTATTGAAAGGAAGGCAGGTACAGGTCGAAGAGAGATCTCCAGAAGGAACTGAACTGTGGGGTCCCACAGGTCCTTTTTGCCCGACCTGGAGTTGGGGTTACCTAGGTAATTTTTACTAACAGCACATAGCTGCCTCTTCCAGAAGATCTAATTTATCATACAGGTACAGCCTGTCAGCTCTGACCACTGAAGCAGAGAGCTCAGAAGCTCTTAAAGTGACACTCTTCTAATTTCGAATGCTTATGTGAAGCATGGATCCCGACAGAAATGGGGCACCTTAAGTGGGAAAACCATGATGGAAGGGTGAGACATTGCAGGAGATAAATAATGCCCAGCTAGTTTTGAAAACTAGAGGGAGGAAACCATATTACTCCTACAACCTACTGACAAATTATACATAGCAGAACAAGAAGTATATGTCTTGCCCTCCTAGGTCAACTAGTTCCAGGGGACTATGAGCATCTCTAAAAATGTCCTATAATGGTAGTGAGTCACCTGTTTTCTTGATCAAGGAGGCCGAGGAGACCCCACTGTATGGATTTGAACCAGTGTCCAGTCTATAAAGAGGAGGGTCAACACAGAGGAATCATTTCTTCCATGCTTCCAAGCAAAGCCAACCATGGTCAAGCAGGACCTTTGACTTATCTTCACATAGGCAGAACTTGTAAAAGAAAGGAGCCAGGGGCTCCCCCCTAGCCCATGTGACCCCTGAGGAACAGATCCTCAAATGCCCTTAAGAGTAAAAATAAATAGGTTTATCTGGACCAACTGTATGGCCTTAAACACCCAAA